GAGATTCGCTATTGATTACCGTAAATTAAACTCCATAACTAAATATCCGGTATATCCGTTACCTATTATTGAAGAAATTCTAAAGAACATAACATCCACCAAATATATGACGACTTTAGACTTAACGACTGGTTATTTTCAAATAGGGATTAGGCCTGAGGACGTGCCTAAGACTGCTTTTATAACCAAGTCTGGCACTTATGCATTTTTGCGTATGCCGTTTGGCCTTTCAGGGGCCCCAGCAACATTTCAGCGATGCATGGACATTGTGTTAAGACCTGTTCTTGGAAAGTCCACATTTATCTATTTAGAGACGATATCATTATTACTAGTGATAATCTCGACCAACATGTACAGGATTTAAGACAGGTGTTTTCTTTATTAAATGAGGCCGGTCTAAAAGTTAATGTCGAAAAGTGCAAATTTGCAGCCCCTGAATTAAAATATTTAGGTTACAAAATATCTCAAAAGGAATCGAGACAGACGAATCAAAAATAATCGCTGTACAAAAGTATCCGACTCCAAACACGGCAAAGAAGCTCTCTTCTTTTCTAGGACTTTGTTCATATTATAGGTCCTTTATAAAAGATTTTGCAGCTATTGCTGAACCATTGTTAAAATTAAAAAGGAAAAAGGCAAGATTCTCGTGGACGGCCGAAGCCAATAGTGCTTTCGAAAAATTAAAACAAGCATTAACGCAAGCCCCTGTGTTGAAATTTCCTGAAAAGGATGAGAAATTTAGAAATTTCAGCGGATGCTTCGGATTATGCGGTAGGAGCGGTACTTTCGCAAAATCAGCAGCCCGTGGCATTTTTTAGCCGAACTTTAAATCAACAAACACAAAGAAACTATTCCGCGACCGAGAGAGAGGCACTTGCAGTTCTGTTAGCAGTGCAAAAGTTCCGAGTCTATTTTGGAAAGGCGCCGATAACAGTGTACTCTGATCATGCGGCGGTAACTAGATTGTACTCAGGGAAAAATTTATCCCCAAGGTTAATAAGATGGGCACTCAAGCTGCAAGAATATAATCTGGTAATCAAGCATACCCCCGGAAAGGAAAATATCGTAGCAGATGCCCTATCAAGAATTAAAATAGATGAACAAGGTAATACCGTAAAGGTGGCAATGCTCACAGCATGTACAATAAATTCCCGAGAAACTGTAATAACCGAACTGGGTAAGGATCCTGAGTTTGGAAGCATTTATGAGTATTTAAAGGATCCTGAAAATTTTAGCCACCAAGATATTGTGGCGATAAGAAATAGGGCGGCCCATTACGAACTAATAGATGGTCTATTATTTTATATACAAAAAACTACGAATTCCAACAACGAATTTCGACCTGTTATCCCAGCTAGTCTTAGATTAAATATCCTGCAGGAGCTCCATGACAGCCCTTTAGCTTCTCATGCTGGTATTCGAAAAACTATCCAACGCGTACGCGAGGCAGTCTACTTTCCTGAACTGCAAAAGTTAACAAGGGCGTATGTCCAGTCCTGCCCAACATGTCAAGCAGTTAATTATATTAATTTCCGCCCGGCCGGGTTTCTAAATAGTATTAAATCCGAATTTCCAAATGAAATAATTGGCATCGATTTATTGGGCCCTTTCCCAAAAAGTCAGTTAAATAAAAGTCGCTATCTCCTTGTTATGGTTGATCATTTTAGTAAATGGACCGAAATTGTTCCCTTAAAACGAGCCTCCGCGAAATTAGTTACTGATTCTATTTTAAATAAATATATTTTAAAATACGGGGCGCCCCTAAAAGTTATATCGGATAATGGTCCTCAATTTGTAAGTAATATATTTGAAGACATGTGCCAAAAACTGGGCATACGTCATTTAAAAATGGTCCCGTATCGGCCGCAATCAAATATAGCGGAACGGGTCAATAGAAATATAGTGAAAATTATCCGTAGTTATGTTAAAAATTTTCATAAAAGCTGGGATAACTATGTCAATGAATTTGCTTTCGCCCTTAGGACCGCAAAACATGATACAACGGGCAAAACTCCTGCTGAGTTATTTCTAGGCAGAAAGATTATAACGCCGTTAGATAAATTATTTTATGTGCAACAAAGAGCCCCAGAATTTAAAATGGGTGATATAGAAAAACTAATAAAAGAAGCAAAAAAAGAATACGGAAGTAGCACAAAGAAAACAGAAGCTCTATTATGATTTGAAACGACGGGGAGTAACTTATAAAGTAGGGGATGAAGTTTTAAAAATTAAGCATTCACTTTCTTCAGCACCAGAAGATAAAACTGCCAAATTTTTTCCACGATTTGAAGGACCATATGTTATAGAAAAAATAACTCACGCTGTAGTAGTGTTAAAAGCTAGAAATGGTGAAACCTGCTCCGCAAACATTGACAATAAACCCTACTATGATCGTAATAAAATGCATATTTTCAATATCTTTAGGATGGTATTTTCGATTTTTTAGGACAAAAGTGAAAGTTATCTAAAAATTAGTAGTGATACATTTCAAATACGCCTTTCAATTAAAATGGTGTATTAAAAAAAGCACACTAGGCTATCTGCCTAAGGGGAGGGATGCCTTCGTGGAGGAATTTCTAAGGGAAACTGGCTCGTGTACACGTTACACATGGGGAAAACCACGAAAACGCCCATGCAGCCAGCCCGTTTACGGGATTCGAACCTCGGACCGAACTAGCAGTGTTCAGCGACTTTACCGCTCGGCCGCTGGTGGGCCGAACTTAATAACTGAAATTCAGTTTTAGTTGCGCATTTTCTAAAATGAAAGGTATAAAAGTGTTTTCATATTTCATTTCGCATTGTGTTTTCATTTTTTTGTATTAAAGAAATCAAATAATCTATTTATTCTTCCTGTCTAGTGAAAAAACTATAACATCATTGCTAAAACATGTAATTGATGCCTTTTTGACATCTTAACAGTTTGAAATCATTTCTGATTTCAATAAAGAAATCAAATGAAAACTTTAAAGAAAGTCCAGTTTAGAGAAAAATGAAATACTTTAAAGAAAGTAAAGCATCAGGGCGTTATCATCAGATTTTAATGTCTGAAACTAATCTCATAAATGCTTCTCCTAAACATTTTTATTACGTTCCAAATTCTTACTTATACAGTATATGTGCCCTAATTTCATTGCACTTTCAAATGCCTGATTTACCAAAAAACGGTACGGCTTTGTGTTGTACAGATTTATTTAGATTAAATTAATAACTTTTTGAAAGTATGCATTGTAAAATATATCTTCATATTATTTAAATTAAATAAAAAACTGAATCGTGTTTATATTAAAGGAGAAGGATAACAATAATGCCTATATCTCATGTTACCTCATATTTACATCAAAACATATTTTCCGGATCCTCATCTTTGCTCTGAAAAGTCGTATTAAAATAATTCCAAATGCCCTTGTTTCATTGTATGTTAGTAGAAATTTGTGGATAGCAAAAAATCTTCATTGATTTTTCTCACGCTTCTATAAAGTTCATGCAGGTCTGGTATTTTTCTCGTCGATAATCGCTTCATTCTTAACTCCCCATATGTGTTTATTAAATAAAGGAACTTGCGAACGAATGGGTGGGGAAAGGTATTAAGAAATATAGTTATTATAAACATTGCAAGCCAAAGAATATTTTTTTAAATGTTTCTATTTTTAAAGAGGGGAGAAGAAGGTGTTAAATTAAGAAATAAAATTAAATTTTTAATAAGTTATAATAAGAACTCAGATTTTTAATACAATGTAGAAATTTTCGAAAAATATGACCTGTCTTTAAATATTAAATTCGAAAGAATGAAAGCAAAGTTATGTAGCTTCTGGTCAGCTTATACTCAAAAGTATTAGCAATATAATATTATTAGAAAATGACCATATGATCACTTTTGCATCATATATATTGTAATACGTTCTGTATTTTCTGTTTACAGTTATATAACCTTAATAGGGTGAGATACAATCTCAGTAAGATGAGAAAATTTCAAATGATTATATTGGAAAATTTTCATTATTTAAAAATTTCGAATATTAACGAAGTATTTTAATACCTTGAAAAGTATAATACTTTACTGGATCATCAAAACATTGTAGTTACTTGTTCTCTAAAATCACTCTAATCATTTAGAAAGTAATCCATTGACATCCATTTACATCTTTAGTGACATTATATTCATGGCACTTTATATTATGCTGCATTCATGCCAAATTATGGCTTTATATTAAAGTCGAAATGAGTTGTTACACGAATGTCACAGTGTGACTTGATAACAATGTCATAATGTGACTTCACATCAACTTCGCAATGTGACGTCGCAAAAAACGGATATTCAGCCCATTCCTACAACGTTACTACGACATTGAGGTCGTCACAATGCGACACGTTTGCAATGTTGCAGCGACGTGCCGTGCTATTGGGTTAGTTTCGGTACATCTTCAATTGCTGTAGCTGTTTTTATATTACCAGTCATGATACAAATGGGAAGCATTTTTGTTTCGGAAACCTAGCAGGCCGTCATGTTGTTGTTCCAAGGCAAATATATTTCAAACACATGACATATATTGCCACAAGAAGAATATTCTCTCATAAATTTCAAGTTAAAAAATATTGAATATAATAAAAATAACCTTAAGAACCATCTTTTCCAAAGGCAGATACGATATTTATCATTTAAATGTTACAACACAACATTATTATTTACAATAAAGGAATAGCGGTTACAAATACAACATCGTCACAATGCGCATTACAATTATGGAATTATTACAAGTACAACATTATTTACATTATTTATTTGGATATTACATTATTTATTTAGAATGGAGGGCCGTGTGCGGCACGTCGCAAATTGGCAGGTCTCGAATGGCACCGAAGCAAAATTAATTTGGCCATGAATATATGTTTCATCCTCCTCCTGCTGCTCCTCCTCTTACTCCTCCTCCTCCTGCTCTTCCCCCTGCTACTCCTCCTCATGCTGTTCCTCCTCTCGATGCTCCTCCTCTTGTTGCTCCTCATCATGCTGGATCAAGAGGAGGAGCAGCATGAGCAGGAACAGCATGAGGAGGAGGAGCAGCATCAAAAGGAGGAGGAGCAGTAAGAGGAGGAGGAGCAATAAGAGGAGGAGCAGTAAGAGGAGGTGCAGCATGAGGACGAGCAGTAAGAGGAGCAGCAGGAGGAGAAGCAAGGGGAGCAGTAAGAGGAGGAGCAGCAGGAGGACGAGCGGTAAGAGGAGTAGCAGCAGGAGGAGCAGTAAGAGAAGGAGACGCATGAAGAGGAGCAGCATGAGGAGGAGCAGTAAGAGGAGGAGCAGCATGAGGAGGAGCAGTAAGAGGAGGAGCAGCAGGAGGAGGAGCATGAAACATATATTCGTGGGCAGAATAATTTTGCTTCGGGGCTTTAAAACGATGTTCACGCAAAAACATCGTTTTGCGTGACACCTGCATTCGTTACATTGCATTCGATAGCGGTCAAAATGTATATTTTCGTTGAAATATGAAATCGGGAATATTGCGTGATAATAATACTTCCTTTACTTCGCACAAGGAAACGAAATGGAGGAAAAAATTCTGAAAGCACTTCTTTAAAGGCTCATATTTAGTGTTTTCTAAAACAATCATATTAAAATTTGTTAATTCATTCTTGAATAATTAATCATTATACTATAACGTTGCGCGCCTCCAACTTGCACGCAACCAAGAGGTGACTGTGAAAGCTGTATAAAACACAGAGTCTTGTAAAGGGTTTAAGTCCCTTTTTATTCAACGTAATAAATTACAATTGCGTCCTCTTGACGCTTACAGACGTGCCAACGCGGCAGTCAAATAAAATAATAACCTGAAAAGAAACTAAAGACAAGATTCTAACTACGAGGCTCTCTAAAATAACTAACTCACCGCGTTTACAATACCGCTGCTAATTCAGCAGACTTGCAGCTCACTGGAACGATTACCACTACTTCCGCCAAGCACATAGGCCAAACGCGGGTTCTTCAAATTCTCGCTAACTACCTCGCGCGCTCGCTAAGTAAGAATATCACAACCGCCGAACTTGTTTCCTCTCTATTTACATCTGTACGTAAGGACAGAATAAAGGGCTCTTTTTCCCCAAATGGAATTATAAAACTGATTTAAAATGGATGCAAAGAGATTCTTTGTACGTACGTATCTCGTATAACTCAAATAAGAGTCCCTTCCAAAAGTTTAAATTTTTTATATAGGACTGCTATAGCATTTAGTTGTGCATCTCCCTTTTTGGTTGCAATCGGCCTCACCAAACGTATATAAATATATAAGTATAATGCAAAAGTCTTAAGTAAATACATCCTAAGAAGACTTCAAAATCAAAGTTTGAAAACTAATAGACGTCTGCGCAAACTGCTACAGTCTCGAAAAAAAACGATTTTTTTTAAAGAAGAGCGAATCATTTTAGCTATATATATATATATATATATATATATAAGATATAACAGAAAATGATAGCTGTTTAAAAAAATAATTGGCGACCTCAAAATTAATATTTTAAATTTGGAGATCTGCCTCTAAATTCATCTCTTCTCACGGGTTCCAGACTTTTTTTATCTTACGTAACGTTTTAATGCAGATGCCTCTTGTCCAATCAAATTAATTGTAAACCATAACTCTGAACTGAAACTTTTCCGCTTCCACCCTTCTTCCTCTGAAATTCTATGATACTCTCCCCTTTTTCCGCATAAGCTCTCTTGCTATCAAGATGCTTTTTATGTATGCTGCTGCCGCTTACTTGCTTAAGACGACGTCGTACTTCAGAATGCAACTTACTGTATTCAAATATAATTAAGAAACGCCTTGTCTGAAAAAGGATGATTTCATATGCGTGGGGAAAAAAAAATAAAGATTGTGATTTTCAAGATACAGTCTGCTAAATTGCGTCATCATGCTTTCCACTCTGCCACCTTCAATCTACTACGGTCTTCTCGGTCATCTACCCATTATCGTAAGCTGTTAAAAGTTCCAGTTCCTTCATCTACGTATTTTTTAAAATTATCACATATGTTACTCATACATATGTTAAAAATCACCCACACTGTTACTCGGCTCAGTGAGCTCAGTTTTTTTATTCTTTATGTGTTTGTAAATTGTGCATTTTTTGCTTTAAAAAGGATTGTTTCGTGTTGCTTATCTTCCGGTTAAGGCTTTTATGCCTTTAGTCAATCTGCATCCAATTGTTGTAGAATTATCAACAATTTAAAAGTTGTTTAAGTGAGGCTAAGCCTATTTTTTTTTTACCAGAGCAGCCATATTTGTTTACATTTGAAACTTAACAGAATAGGGAATTAAGTTAGTTTCTGCACCTTCAGTGTCTGTTTGCAGAGTGGGAACAAAAGTAAACTTTCAGTTTTGCGCACCGAAAAATCTGCCTTCTTGCCTGCTGGCTGAATGCTCGCTTTTGCGTAGAAAATTTAATTTTAATTGTAGAATTTTTTTTATTGTTTTAACTGTATTTAGTGTTATATATTTTCCAGTATTTTTCAATCTATAATAAAGATATTTTATGGTTTTATGTATTTTTGCCTTGCCAGAAAGTGAGAACTGAATTAATTGAATGAGAAATCTACCTTTAGTGAAATTCGAGGAAATAAGTTTTAAATGAAATGCAGCAAAAAATGCGTATAATTTAATATTTCATACAAAGAAGCCATGTGGTGTACACATCAGATTTTTTTCGAAAACTGTTTTGCATATCAAAAAATCCTCAGTCAAGTTATTGCATTTAAAATCTGCGTATTTTCGCATTTTTCTTTAGATGCTTACTATTTTATCAATGGAAGATTATACTTACTATTTCTGCACTGAAAGGCAAGAAAAAGGCTTCATCTATTTTCACTTGTGAGTGGGAAAAGTCAGAATCCCACTCATTGGTCCCACTCATTCAGCAACGCTGTTTTCAGTTCCTGGATGGTTCTCGGAGGAATCTTGCGAGTTGCAATAGCCTTTTCCAGAGCGTCCCAGACATGGTCTATAGGGTTGAGGTTTGGAGACCTGGCTGGCCAATCCATCCGGCGAATATTCTCACTCTCAAGAAATTTGTCGACTATAAAAGCTCTATGTGGCCTCATGTTATCGTCTTGTAAGATGAACTCGGTGCCCACTGCACCCTGAAAAAGGCGAACATAGGGCTCTAAGACCTCACACCAGTCACAGAGCCTCTGTCAAAGACGTGGAAAGATGTGCGGCCATCCAACATGATGCCAGCCCAGACCATTGCACCGCCACTGCCATAATTGTTGATTTCGCGAACATTGGAGGGTAGGTGCGGGTCCCTGGCTCTTTGCATATGAAATTACGGCGAGAATCGGTGTTTAGGCTAAAACGATACTCGTCGGTGAACAGAACGATCGCCCATTGCTCCGTACTCCAATCACTATGCTGCCTGCACCTTACTAATCGGACTCTCCTGTCCGTAGACGTGAGCGTGACGCAAACAGCCGGTCTCCTGGCAAACAATCCTCTCTCATTCAGTATTCTGGAAACAGTCACCCTTGTTACACGGATTCCTGTGGCTGCATATAGGTCCCGAGACAGCTGAGAAGCTGTTACCCCTCTGTTACGCCTCGCTAAAATGGACAAATAGTGATCTTCTCTGGCCATCGTGGCTCTTGAACGACCTTGCCCAGACTTTCTTTCGATGAATACAGTATCATGGAACTATTTCTATAGGTTACACCCGACGCTGGGCGTTAAATTAAACTCTCTCCATATGTAGACTTGCGATTGGCCTGCCTCTAGCCTCCACACAATTCGCCACCTCATTCCATCAGCTAAACGTTGGTGGTTACTCATTTTTACTGTTTCGATGTGAATTTAACGTAATGCTACAAGCTAACACCAAGAAATTCGCCTAGGTAGTGCTAGCGAACGCAATTCGTCCAACTCCAACTTCAACTTCGTCTGTATGCCGCGATTAATCTGCAAAGAATGCAGGTTGTTTTCCGGCTATCTCAGTTAGATGCTTCGATGAGCGATGTTAGGTAGGGAAATGCTAAATTGGTCTCGGGAGGCAGGATATCATGTACTAGGGGCGTGGCCAGTTTCCACGTGATGAGCTTTGAATGCTTTTTCATTAGTTATCATAACACTTAAAGTTAATGCAATCTTATTATATTTATAAACGTTTCTCCTCAGAGGCATTGCTGGCCGTGTCTCTTTAATTCAAAATCGCCTAACGAGTTCCCGCTTTTCCCCTCCCCCAGACCCGAAGCACTTGCAACATGAAGTTTTTCGCGAGTGTTTCCGCTCTCGTGTTGTTAATACCACATGACCATTGATCAAGGAAACATAGATGCTTTTCAAAATTCATGATGTAACCCCTCCAAATTGATTCTGGCCCTTATTCGACACCAAAATTACCAAATTAAGTCCTTCAGTGTTTTTACCTTTTTTCACTGTGGAAGGCAGTTACTCTTTTTGTTAAATTAACATTTTGGCACTAAATTTACCTCTTTGCGGAACCCTCTTTTTGGCGATAAAGATAATTCTTTGACGATGTGGGGGGTAAAGGCTACATGTCTAAGAGCCCCGTAATAGAACCATGGAGGTAAGAAAGGAAGGAGTGGCCAACCGGCACTAGAAGTGAAGCACTGCTTCGAAGCTTCGGTCACCAGATGGGGAGTTCTTTGTTTACATTTCAGAAGCTCTGTTGACAGTGTTCTGATAGTATTTCGACACACGACAGTTCCATACAAATCGAAAAAGGGACACTTTCACACGAAAGAAACATTCATAGTGTAATAGATAATAGCAATTTGTATAGTTTAGTGACATTTACGCAAAAATCACATCTTGGTTATTTTTCGATAACTAACAACAGCGATTTTGATTATGAATTTGTTTTATAAAATTCTAAGCTGTTGAACTACAAAAATATAAATTTTAACAAAAATGTTATGCTTAAAGAACGAAAAATACCTTACTGTACCTTTAAAATTGTATACGTCTTTCGATACCCTTGATAGAGTATTCGCTACTTTTATTTTATGTTTCCAAACGCCGAAGTTTTAAATAAAATAAATTTTTTTCTTATTTAATTAATTTCTAATTAATTTCTAATTACTTATTTGGGTTAATTAAAAATAAAATATAGTGAATGCACAGAAATGAAAGATTTAGACATGCCGGAAATGAAAAAAATGGAAATATGTATGGGTATTTATGCATGTGCTTGCAAAAAGCATGTATCTGCCTTTAACAAATACATAACTATTCATTAAATTATTTATAAATGTATTGAAAATGAAAAAATTTATTCATTTATGAACAACTGTGAAGAAATCTAATTATTAAATGTATCTAATTTATAATGATTATAAATGTTATCTAAATATATAATAACTTTAATATTGAATTGTAAATATAAATTGAAATCCTGTTCACAAATACGTTATAAA